GATTTATCCCCCTGGGGTGGGATCCATCCCCCCCTGAACTGCTCAGGGTTCCTGCAAAGGGGGGTTCGCTTTGGGGTTTGTTTGGGACTGGCCAGCACAAAGCCCTTTTGGGGTCCGGCTGCTCTGCCCCTGACACCAAAACCGAGCTGCTTTAAGCTGRGATGGAGAGCCTGGAGTGGTGCTGGCCGGAATAAAGTAGCCTCTTCGTCTAAAGCAATTAGCATTAATTACTACCCGGCACCTCTTTGATGGCTCCGTGGGCTTTTAAAGGACAGTTATGGAACGGCCAGAGGAGCTGAGGRCTCTGGCCTTGGGATTGAGATAAAAAAAGAGCTTTTTCCAAATCGATTTTTGGTGGGGGAAGAGACCCACAGCACCAAAACCCCGCTACGGAACAGCCCTGCAAGGACCGTGCCTTTTAAACCCGAACGCTCGGTCACGTTTTTATTTTGTGGCTGTTACTCACCGAAAAGAAGGAACTAAAATCCTTCTGAATCATTCAAACTGGGGCTTTTCAACACCGATTTTCCCCCTTCCCCGAGTTGGATGAGTGTGCCGGAGCTGTAATTAAATCAGAGAAGTAAATGGGCAGGAAAAGGAACTTCTGGTTTCGGTGCGGATCCTCCGCGGCGCCCGGGCTGAACTTTGCCTCTCATGGGCCGGGGCTCGGGGGTGCCAAAGCCTCGGCAGCTGCTTTGGGTCCCTGAAAATGCTGTCGGAATGAGAGAAAATGATTTATTTAATGGCCTTTTAACGGTGGTGGGGATCCTGGTGGAGTGAATGCCTCCCTGCTGGCCCCAACCGGCTGCACACTGGAGTTCCAGAGAGGCTTTCACTTCCCATGGAGGGTTTTATTCTCTCTCAGATTTGGGAGGGAGGCAGCCAGGAGCAGTGCAACGACCGTGGTCAAACCTCTGGCTGCTTAGGAGCCGATAGAAATCTCTAAATCTATAAAAAAATCTATAAATTTATAAATCTATAAATCATCTAAAAATCTATAAATCATCTATAAAAAATCTATAAATCTATAAATCTATAAATCTATAAATCTGTAAATCTGTAAATCTAGAAATCTAGAAATCATCTAGAAGTCATCTAGAAATCATCTAGAAATCATCTAGAAATCTAGAAATCTAGAAATCTAGAAATCTAAAAATCTATAAATCTGAATATCTAGTTTTGATATAAATCTAAATTTCACGTTTTGGATGTTCAAGTGCACAGTAAAACCCTGCAGAGCCCTAAAACTTCCCCAAGCTCAGCTCGGCTTCCTGACAGCTCAAATCCTGGATATGAAATGATCCGAGCTCAAACAATCCAGGGAACTGCTGTTCCAAAGCCACCACTCGCTGCAATGTCATTTAAGCAGCAAATAATTCAAAGCTGAGACTGAAATATTCAACTCCTCCCGCGTGGAAGGATTAGATCTGTCAGGGCGTGGGTGTTGAAATCTGATTTTTGCGGCGTATTCCAATTACAAAGGAATTCTTTCAGGGTCTAAGGCTCCGAACAAGCAGCCAGTTCTGCTCATTTATCGCTGGATCTAATTCCCTGATCCTGCTACAAGCAAAAAAAAAAAAATAAAAAAAAAGGGTAGCAGAGAGTGTTCCTGCCTGCAGGTCACAGCACAAAGGGCTCCTCTGTCTGCCGAGGAGCAAATCCTCCCGCGTGGCTCCTGTGTCACCCAGGGGTGTTGGTGTTTGTTTTTGCTGCTCCCTTTCGCCTCCTCAGCCCGATCCCATCCCCAGGAATGGGGTGGTGCAGGTGAGGGAAACGCACAGGTGGTGCCAGGAAATTCTGGGAGCTTTGCACCCCGAAATAAGGACGCTTTCTGTGGGTGTTCAGCCTCCCGCCACGGGCAGAGAGCTCTGAGCGGGGATAAATGTGCCCTGTGCCAGNTGGGACAGCCTGGGCACAGCCCCACACGCTGTGCCAGCCGTGTGCCCAAACACACCCAGGCGCGCCCCAAAGCCCGGGGGCACCTCCCGGGGCCACCACCCCATGGCACCACCCCAGGGCCCCGAGGAAGGGTGGCAGAGGAAGCTCCTGGCCAGGAGGAAGCTCTGCCAGAGCCAGGATGTGAATAACCAGCAGCCAGCAGCATTTGGGGCCGGCACATTGGGCTCGGGCTGTAGGGCTGGCACGGGGTGCGGTGGAGGGAGGGGGTCCCACGAGTTTTCAGCTGCGTTTTCAGCTTTTGCTTTGTCATATCCACCCCCCGAGGTGATGAGAGAGCCTCCAACACGAGCTGCATGTCCAGATACTATTATTATTATTATTATTATTATTATTATTATTATTATTATTATTATTATTATTCCCGATAATTTCAGGGAAAGATACTTTCAAACCCAGACATCAGCCTTATTCCCGATTATTTTAGGGAAAAACTCAAAAACTTTAAAACCCAGACATCCCGATTATTTCAGGGAAAAACTCAAGGATGCTTTAAAACCCCACATCACCCCTATTGCAATTATTTCAGGGAAAACTCAAGCATGCTTTCAATCCCAGACATCAGCCTTATTCCCAGTTATTTCAGGGAAAAACTCAAGGATGCTTTCAAACCTAAACATCGCCCCTATTCCCGATTATTTCAGGGAAAGATGCTTTCAAACCCAGACATCAGCCTTATTCCCGATTATTTGAGGGAAAAACTCAAGCATGCTTTAAAACCTACACATCACCCCTATTCCCGGTTATTTCAGGTAAAAAAAAAAATAAGGATGCTTTAAACCTAAACATCACCCCAATTCCTGGTTATTTCAGGGAAAAAGTCAAGAATGCTTTAAAACCTAAACATCACCCCTATTGCGATTATTTCAGGGAAAAACTCAAGGGTGCTTTAAAACCCAGACATCGCCCTGTTCCCGATTATTTGAGGGAAAACTCAAGGATGCTTTCAAACCTAAACATCGCCCCTATTCCCGATTATTTCAGGAAAAACCTGAAGGTCGCTTTAAAACTCAGACATCAGCCCTATTCCCGGTTATTTCAGGAAAAACTCAAGGATGCTTTCAAACCCAGACATCAGCCTTATTCCCGGTTATTTCAGGGAAAAACTCAAGGATTCTTTAAAACCTAAATATCACCCCTATTCCCGGTTATTTCACGGAAAACCTCAAGGATGCTTTAAAACCTAAACATCACCCCCATTCCCGGTTACTTCAGGTAAAAAAAATAAGGATGCTTTAAACCTTAACATCACCCCCAATCCTGGTTCTTTCAGGGATAAATTCAAGAATGCTTTAAAGCCCAGACACCACCCCTATTCGATTATTTCAGGGAAAACCTCAAGGATGCTTTAAAACCTAAACATCGCCCCTATTCTCGATTATTTGAAGGAAAAACTCAAGAATGCTTTAAAACCCAGACACCATCCCTATTCGATTATTTCAGGGAAAACCTCAAGGATGCTTTAAAACTCAGACACCACCCCTATTCAATTATTTCAGAGAAAACCTCAAGGATACGTTCAAACCCCATATCAGCCCTATTACCGATTATTTGAGGGAAAAACTCAAGGATGCTTGAAAACCTAAACATCACCCCTATTCCCGGTTGTTTCAGGGAAAAACTCAAGGATGCTTTCAAACCCAGACATTAAAACCCAGACATCGTCCCTATTCCCGATTATTTCACGGAAAAACTCAAGGGTGCTTTAAAACCTAAACATCGCCCATATTCCCGATTATTTCAGGGAAAAACTCAAGGATGCTTTAAAACCCCGACATCACCCTGATTATTTCAGGGAAAATCCCAAGGATGCTTTAAAATCCCACATCACCCCTATTCCCAGTTATTTCAGGGAAAACCTCAAGGATGCTTTCAATCCCAGACACCACCGCTATTCCCGATTATTTCAGGGAAAAACTCAAGGGTGCTTTAAAACCTAAACATCATCCCTATTCCCGATTATTTCAGGGAAAACCCCAAGGATGCTTTCAAACAGCCCAGCTGTGCCTTCCCCCGGACTCAGCAGCTCAGACAGAGAACATTTCCCTTCTCCTGCTGCTGCAGCCACCCCCGGGGGAATGTCACAACTCAACCCTTCTCCTCTTTCTCTTCTCTTTCTCTCCCCCTCCCCGCGGCAGCTCCAGGGCAGCCCGTGCTATGCCAAGGAAGGAGCTGGGCATGGCTGGCAGCAACTCGGGCAGCTGTGACAGCATGGCCAGCACGGCTTCCAACCGCTCGCAGCGGGTGAGTAACCCCGGG